CTAATAGTTGTCCTATGGACAGATTCCCCCACCTGAGCTGTAGATCTCTGCAGCTCGTCCAGAGTCACCATGTTTGGAATCATGTATAATTTTCGTTCCACTTCTCACATGTACACCACTTTGTGTTGGTCTTTCACGTGGAATTCCAGTAAAATTGATTCATGTTTGTGGCTGTAATGTGACAAAATGTGGGAGAGTTCAAGGGGGCCGAATACTTTTGCAAGCCACTGTATCTGGTGCAGAAATTCACTGTAGTGTACAAGTAGTGATGTAGTTGCTGCAGGATGGCAACTTAACTGCACAGTGACAAAGGGTCTGGTCAAAGTGCTGTTACACGGTGATCATTCACAAATCGGAGTGAGATTGGTTGGAGACAGCAGCTACCATGAGGCGACCTGTACACAAATGTGTTCCCCCAGAAGATGAATTTGTCACCTTTGAACTAGCAATTGGTTACTGCAACGACTTGCAACTGGTTGATGAAAGTGAAGAATAATCACTGCAATCACCAAGCAACCACCTGGTGATATACTAGTCACAAGGAGTGTTCTACTTTTACTCCAAGTGTGACTGAGCCATTAGCACAAAATGCAAGACATGCTGCACAACTGCCTGGAAAACACGGAACTTTTTTCTCCATATACGTCAGAAATATTTATAAGTTGAACCACAAACATCCACTCAGGTCTTTTGGGGATTTCAGGTTGTAAAGTCTGCATCTCATCAAGCTGCATCAAACATCTGTACTGTGCGTTATTGGGCATATATATCCAATTACTCCGACTATACAAACACAGCCCAAACAAACCAAAACATAATATCCATGGTAGCAGCATATTGCACTTGGAAGGTGGTTAAAACAACAATAATAATATTCTTGTTATCTGAAAGCAAAATGAAATCAGTTGGGAGTAACACTTGATTTTTAAAGCTTTTAAATACTACACTTGGCTTTTAAATACTACACTCAAACACCTGGCCACAGGCGGTTTTTATTTTTTATCTTTACTCAGCAATTCAGCATCATCACACCGTGTGTTCACTACTGTAACTGTACTTTTTCTGTGTAGCTGCAGCACCCCCAGCAGGCACATCGACTTGAGCATCTCCGTTATGAACATCTCCAGGCAGCACTGCAGCTGGATGAAGAGCCGACAGATCTCGGGATGGATCTCCCCGTCCTCTGGACTGCAGCATTAAGGAGAGGAGAATCAGACACTCGCAGTCAATAGTTTCATCTGTTATTCCACACCAATACGTAACAATTAAACTGCTAGACAAACTTTTAGCTAAATAAGTTCTACTTATATTTTTACTGTATTTAAACCATTTTTTTGTTGTTTTTTTTTCATTTTTTGTGGTCTCAAATCAACAATAATCTATAACTTTTCATTCATAATTTAGCCACGTTTTTCTGTTAAGTTTATATTAAACTGTTTAATGCATGTAATATTTTTCTAATCGTTCTTTTTCAACCTTTTATTCCTACCTTTTATTTTGATCATTACTTTTCTATTACAGTCACAAATTAATTTATTTTGTCTATATTCTAAGTCTTATTTTGCATTAACTGTTACCTTTTCTGCTCAAAGCTAATTCATCAGTTGTAGTTGTTTAGATAACTGATTGATTAGTATCCCGCTTGTATGTATCCCTGATTGGGAACACCTAGTATCTAGCATATTTAACCTTCACTTAATAAAATAAAATATGTGTATATGTGTGACTAACTGTGGATAAAATCTATCACTGACTCCTTTTTCAAAATTGTTGCTTTACTGATTTAACTTAAAATACACTCTGTGATGCTCACCTGTTCTACCTGAATAAACTTTAGCTCATAAACGTTTAAAAAAAAAAAAGACAAAATAAATTCAATAAATGAGGGAGCCACAGTTTCTTCTTAAAAAAATATTATCATTCAAACTCGTGTCTAACCCCGAAACAGAGATGACGGCGAGGTCCTGGTGCGCAGCCCGGGCCATGGAGCATCCTTTGGACCGTGTGTGGTGCATCTGAGCCCGCAGAGAAGGACAGTCGGCGGAGATCTCGCCGACGGAGATGACCTGCTCCCGGTACAGCGCTACGAGGGTGTTGAATTCCTGCACAGTCTTAAGGAAAACAAACCATCACGCGATCAGGAAGGACACGATATTACTGTGTGTGATTTCAAATGCAACAAATACAACAAACACACTCTTAATGCGGCTCATCGCGACCTTTTTATCCATTATGCGCCAATGCTGCTGCACCTGCGCGTAAAAAAGTCGGATTTACACGCATGAATCTGTCCTTTGGTGCAGAGCTGAGCTCAAGTTAATCATTAACAGACATGACTACGATCCTTATTTCAGTACCCACCATCCTGCTGTCGTCCACAGCCCCCTCAGTACTCTCCCGGCGATCCGTCTCCGTCTGCGCCGCTTTACCGAGCGGAAAGATGCTCCCTGTGGATCTTGGGCGTTTTTTCCGCCCATACGGTGCAGAACACATGCATGCACACCCACCACCGGAGCCGAGCCAGACGCAGCGAGCGATGCCCTCTCTTTTCTGGTGGCTGCTGTGTCCTCTGTGGAGAAGAAGACGACACGCAGACGCTGCTGGGTGTGGGCTTTTCTTTCCCCCCCCCTGCTTAATGCCTAAAGCCCCCTCCCGCAGCGGTGCGTGACTGTTCCCCAGAACAGGATCAGAAAAGATATCCCAGCAGCTCCCTCCACATCCCAGCCGAGCGGAGAGTCACCTTCAGCCCCTCCTGAAGGCCGACAGGGAGGCTCCTCCGTCTTCCGCCCCACGCTCACGTGTGCGGAGGATACAGAGAGAGCCAACGGCAAAACAAGTCGTCACCCTCCGACTGAAAATTAACCGTTTCTGTGCATACAGGACAAACGATATGATTTTCTTGCATCCACGAGATGCACGTTTTTTAAACTCATTACCTACTGCATATCAGTCAGGGGCGTGTGCGAAGTGGACTGTGTGGTGGCAGCAGCCCACCTCCCTTTCACTGGTCGAAGTGGGTTGCATGTGGCCTATGACATTAAGTTTGACATCCCTGGTTTAAATGAAGATATTCACTACAAAAGAACAGGTGAAAACAAAGCTACGTTTCTTTAGTCCCCAGTGTGCCACCTTATTAAAAAAGGAGTCCTGGAAACAACCCCAATATCAGACATGGGGTAACTTCTTTTTTTTAAGAAACCAAGACCGTGTCAGCATAAATGCTCATCTCAAGGCTTCAAAGTATGACTTGAATGAATGAATCATGTAACTTCATCCATCTTTTTTACTGTTATGTCATGTATGTAAAGAAACTAGGCTTCAAAATACAGACACTTGATGGCTAGATTACAGCTTCCTGTGCTTTAAGCTAGCTTGATGCAACCTCAGACCCCAGTGTGAAATAACCAGCATCATTAAGGTGGTTATCAACTTTATCTGTTAAACCAGGCTCTCTGCTGCAGGCGCCATGTATGCTCAAATATCAAGGTCATGTGACTTCTGACCAAAATGCTCTCCGAGTACTGCCTGCGCCAATCAGACTCACAGTTAGATGATGATAAAAATCTGAAATGAATAAAACAAACGTAACAGTAAAACGCAAAATATACTGGGACAGAAAAACATTAATGTGGTGATTTAGGGCTTTACTTTGTCAGCAGATACTGATTTAGATTAGAATCAAGTATAAGAACATGTATAGATTTTCTCCATCACCACATTATTTCATGCAACTATGCAATGCACATTTTGTGCTTTATATCGTGGTTTTACTAAAGAACGACATTGCGACAGCAGAGAATTTTAATCATTTAATTACATGGTGCTTCAGCCATTTTTAAACCACAATTTAAAACCTGCTCCTGACCAGGTGTTTGCTGATTTAGCTGGGTAAAGAGAGACAAAGGAGGGGCTTTGGGCCCACTCTGTGAGCGCCCTTAAGTGGTCCAGTCAGGGCCCAGACTAACTCGACTGATCTGAAAACGGCTGTGCACCAGCACTCCCCGTCAAACTTGAGAGGTTCTGAGAAGAATGAGAGAAAGTGCCCAAAACAGGTGTACCGAGCAGTTATTATAGTTTAGCATTTTCCAATGAGTTAAAAACCATAAATAAAAACACATTTTCAACCAAAAATCAGGCAGCTAACCTTTATTGAGACTCCTGGTATGGATTACATTTCACAGAAGCAGCGTGTCTCTGTACATTTGATACAGAAAATGGAACAGCAGCAAGATCTTTGGATGGCACTTTTGAAAACACAAAGTGCTTCACAGTTTGGATAAAGTGTACATAAGTCAAGGATATGTACTTACATTCAATTTTTTTCACATCCATACGTTGTGAAACATGACGGACAGAAATTAAAGACCTATGAAACAGTTTTCAGCAGATGATTGAAAAAAATAAAAACACTGATACGGTCGTTGTCAGGTGATGCCTCAAAGCTTGGCACCTTTGAATTTAAGAAATATGGCATTCAAAATTCAAATTGCTGTCAAGTGACCTTAGTGAACACGACACAAGAAGCTCAGTTTTGCAGTTCTGTGCTTTGTTATGTTAGCAGGACAAAAATCATCAGACTGAAGATTTTTCAAGTAATTAGGTAGTTATTAAACCCCAATCACACTCAATACTATAAACTTTTCTCAACAATTTCTGCAAATGTCTCACATGCCCTCTGTTGTTTCAGAGGTATTCCCGGACTCTATTAACATCCGACATGCGATTCAGTAGGCCTAATCTGGAAGAAATGATGCAATTAGACCATAAGGTCTAAAACAGTAGAAGAATAGGATAAAACAGAGGAACACTAGAACCAGGACACAGCACAGGATGCAGCTCATGACAAAAAATATCTTTAACAAAATGTGGCCCAATTGCACTCCGTAAAAATGAAGCACGGGAAAATCTTCGTCTCTGATACCTAATGAGAAAGAGATGAAATGTTCCACATTTAATGACCAATCAAAATTTGTGTGTAATGTCATTATTTGTGCCGAGGTTCAAAATGTTATTCTTTTAAACAACAGAAATACAAATTTTATATTTTACAAGGTGATACATGTTTAACGGGGAAAAAAATTTCTCCAAATACAAATAAACCTTTGATAAGAGCAGAATTTTAAAAAGTGGAAGAATATTAAACCTATAAAACAATGATTAGCTTTTAGATGAAACAAACATATGAAAATATTCAATTCATTCGGCAGATAAGCGCACTACACATCATTTCCTCAGCCAGAAACCTTCATCTGGTAATTCTGCCTGAGTCTATTCACAACCATCAAATCCTTCAATCTCTCATCAGTTTCTTTCCTTTACTTTTGCTCTGCAATAACATAAGGAGCTCTACATAAAGAATTCAAGTTAGAAAACCAGACATTTTTTTAATGGGACTCAGGTTTTTTCCTTATTTTAGGTTCTATTATTGTGCCAGTGCTAGATACTCACATTAGACATGACATGTCTGAACATGTAAAAATAATAGAGGTTATCCGAGTAATTAATTTGGATTTATAACAAGTATTAAAACAAATGAGTGAACTGAACTGCATTCTGTTCAATAATTTACTCCTTTTGCCCTTCAGCAAACTTTTCTTTTACTCTTGTTTCTCCATGAAAGTCCAGATTCACTCGTTGCCAGGCTGCTGTGAAAGGTTTAGTTCATTTATTTATTAACATTTTGAGTATATTTCATTTGAATTTTAATTAAAGCTCAAGGGAAAAAAGTGACCATAATAGTGGTAAATAATCATGATCTCAAAACAAACATAATTATGGTTTTATGCCCTGATCGAGAAACCAGAAGCTCAGGCTTCAGACTGCTCCACACACTCCTCAGTTTCACACAATGTCATCTTCTCTTGGATTTGTTTGTGAGTAAGAGGGAGTAACTCCAATATGGTCACCTCAGGCACACAACTAAGGGGTTCAAGTGAATACATACATGTATCACAACCCCAAGTGTACATAAGTGTGTTACATTTAAAGAATTAAAAATTATATATTTCCCAAAGACATAAATATCTATTGTCAAATCAGAACTGGTCCCATTCCAAAACTTTAAGTTCTGATGCTTCTTTCTCTGGGTGTCACAGTTATCACAGGCAGTATTATTGTAGCCTCTATTTTACAATATAAAGCACCTTGAGGTGACTGATGTTGTGATTTGGTGCTGTATAAATAAAATTGAATCATCTATCCACCATAAGAGACTAAAAGCTTTTAAGCGGAGGAATGCTCTGTCTGGTTTGCAAACCTAACTATATCGATTTTAACTCCAGTTTCAGTTATTGTTTTAACAGTTTACAACCAGCTGTGTAAAGATAAAATACCCTACAGACACTAAAGCAAGGCGATAAAGCAATACCATTTATTGCTTCCTCAGAACCATGGTCCTGATGCAATGTGAGCTGAGATTGAAAACTACTTCATGCATTTTTGCTTTTGTCAACCTTCACAGAAACGGGATAATCCAGACTTTTCTGTCACAGTATTACACTGGAAACACTTCCTAGTCAAATAAAAACAAATTAAACTAAACAGCAAAGCTTCTCACCTTCAGGCAGAGGCCATGATGCACACGGCGAAGCCTCAAATTCACACTTGCGAGCCTTGTAAAGTTTTGGGAAAAAGGTTTTTGCCCTTTGATCGAGCTCTGAAGAAGACAGAACAGGGGACGAACTAAAGAGCATATCCTCACCAGAAAATGTTTGCTATTCTGAACACAAAGAGCGAATTAACAAACGTACCAGTTTGTAAGTTGGTGTATAAGATGACATCCCGGCAGAGAGGGCAGGTGGTCTTGTCATTTCCACTGTTCATGGCGTGTGCGCGAAGACATGGCTCACAGAAGACATGACCACAGGCCTGACTTCTGTGAGGACTGAAGTAGACATCCAGACAGACAGCACAAGTGAGGTTCTCCCTGTTCTCCTGGTGCTCCTCCTCCTCCTCCTCCTCCTCATCATCATCATCATTATCATCCAGCAGCAAAACTCTCACACGTTCAGCCTGGACATAAACATCCGAGTTTTTATTTTTTGGTCCCAAACGGAGGAGGGAAAAAACGCTTCTACAAGCATACTTTGGAGGAGAAACTGCCCAGATCACATTTTGAATCTTGTATCTAAAATAATTTAAGTCCTGCTCATTATTACATGCATATGGTAACTGCACTGGTTCTTATATAGTGTTTTTCTACACTTACGGATACAGTTATGTCTGAAGGTTTTCACAGGACTCCAGGCAGTCATATGAAAAACTACACTCCATGATTCAACAACATCTAGAACCACCTTCAACAGCAACTTTAAGTAATGATTTTCTGTATGACTCAGTCTCTCACATCATTGTGGAGGAATTCTGGCACACTCTTCTTTACCATGTCACTTCAGTTCACAGACTTTTGCACACCACAGGGAAACGCACTTCAGCTGATTAGTGCCAAACAGCAGACTACTAAAACACTGGATTTTCGCTAACCACAACTGAAGCACGGCCTTCATGCATTTGGTCTTCCATCTATACACAGCAAGCCAAATCAGATCATTTTATTAAAATGCATCTAAAAGTCACCAACATACAAACACTTAGGTGAAGTCCAGCAGAGCTATCAGCCCCATCAAATAAAGCAGCCACAGCCTCAAGTTTCAGTCTTAAAATAGAGTTGTTATGAAGGGAAAACTATCCACAGAGGCCAAAGCCCCCATTCTGTGCCAAACAGATTTTTTATGCTGTAATGTTTTGGGGTATTTTACCATGATAATGGTGACTGCCCTGCTTTTTGAGCTAGAATGAAGGAATCATTGGAGAAGCTGCAGTTTTCAGCACTTCCATGTTGGCTTCCTTTTTCAGCCACAGCAGCTGCCACTTGACTGCATCCTTCATACTGACACGAACTCAGTGTGAACTTTGCTCTCTCACCAGTGCTTTCTCCTTCTGGTGTTGCAGCCATCTCTCTCTCCTCCTTTGTTTCCGTCTCACACTCTTCATATGGTTCTTCTCTTTTTTGCTAAGGCTGTTTGAGGGTGGGGAGCCCACAGAGGTTTGAGGCTGAGACAATAACACACATGTCACTTATTTAGCAGCTCAAACAACAGAATCTATCAGCTAGTGAACTCTTTTTTTTTTCCCCACTGGTATGCAAGCAGACAGTTTAACCACAAGTTTGGGCTGTCTATCAGGGGGCAAGAGGTTGGGAACACAGGGTCATCAATCTGTCACCGAGTTAAATTGGAGAGAAAAACAACCAGCTGCACCCACATTCACACTTACAGCCAAGTTAGAATCACAGTTTAACCCAACATGCTGGTCTATGGAGTGTGGGAGGAAGCCAGAGCACGCAGACATGGGGAAAACATGCAAACCTCGCACAGAGGTCCTAGTCATTGGATTTGAACCCAGGACCTTCTTGCTGTAGGTGACAATCCCATTGGACCACTTTGCTGCTCACTTTGGAAGTTATCTGCCCACCAGCTATGGTAGGCTACAGCATACATTGCTATATGAGAATGAGGTTAACCGTGCCTTAAAACTCTCTTGGCTGCTAAGTTAGACTGAAAATGGGAAATAACCTTGCCAAGGTTTCAGCCCCCCCCTCCCAAATTCAGATGCATTCTGAACACTGGAAATACTCAGTGTGGTTTTGGGATGAAAGTCAGTAACAGAGTCGAGAATTCACTTGACCATTACTTCTACTACTCTGTACTCACACGTAATCACGTGGTCTGGCAGGTTAAAGACAGTTTACAATAAATCCAAACAGAGAGAAAATAAATAAATAAAAATGAATATACCACTGGTTCTTCTTCATGCTCAGAGACACTGTCAGAGATCCATCTCCTTCTGAGAAACACAGCAGGATCAGAGACCTCGTCGCAGAGAGCTGCAGTCTCTACAGAAGACTCAACACCCTCCTCTGTTAGCAGGAGATGCTGATCCAGAGGCGGCTGGGTACCCTCAGAAACAGATGAAGAGGCTTCACCATCTGTGTGAAGCTGCTCGCTTGCAGGATGTGAGACAACATCAGGGTAAAAATCACGACCACAGGAAGCTGGCACACTCTTCCAGAGAGCATTTTCTCTTTCTACAGGAGTTCGTCCATCAGTTTGTGGATTTGAGGCCTCCATAGGACTCTCATGGGGCATTGTAGCAGCAGTTAAAATCCCGAAATCTATCCAGTGTAGTCGTGCTAAACTCAGCCCTCTCCTCATGATTCTGAGAAATGTCCATCTGTCCCCTGTTGAGCCTCGACCTTAAAGGCTGGCCCATCAGGATGGAGTGCTTGTGGTCGTAATCCAGGCGGCTTTTGCTGAAGTGAATGGAGGTGTCAGTGCCACAGGGACACTGACTGCGATTAATGAAGTTGAAGCCTCCCAGGCGAGCTCTACAATTCTGGCAGTTCAGTTTTCCAGCAGTCCACTGGGTCTGGGAACACCAAAGGAACAAAGCTTAATGATTAACTTTTTTCAGTTTCTTGCTCCTCTTCCAACAATAACAGTCAACACAGCTTTAAAAAAAGAAAAAAAAAAGAAAAAAGAAAAAAAGAAAATGTTGACATATTATCTTTGTTCACACGGGTCACACTCACTCAGCCATGGGACCTAAGCACCTTTAGTTATTGGGTCGACCATGAACTCCTCTGTACATCTGTGGACTAGAGCTCTATTAGTTTGAGGTCTGGTCCATAAACCTCAATGAACTGAAGCAGCATTAAAAGACTGGGCCAAATTTGCTTTTTTGTGGGTTTTGTTTTAGCTTCTGTCACACATTAATTTCCCAATCAAATACCATAAAACGTCTCCTAAAGTAAACTATGAAGTTAATGAAAGAAAACACATTTAGGATTTTAAAATAAACTGTTACCGTTAACAAGCATGTTGAGTCTATGATGCTTTTCCGACACTTCCTGCAGCGCAGCATGGATCTCTGCATATTTTCCTGCAGTGGGTCCTTCATCTGTACATGGTGACAAAGGCTGTCAATGCATAATGATGAACTCACCTGCACTGGTCCTGACTCTCAAATAAAGGACAAAAAACCCCCCCAAAAAAAACAACTAATGACAAAAATATTTGGACATTCAAACTGTCAGCTGTGAATACAAACAATTGGTTGTTTGAAAAGTCCTCCTCCCATCTCTCCTCCAGAGGAATTAGGAAAACCACATGTACAGAGATTGATTTCTGAGTCGGAAGTTGGAGGCTGGAAATCAATTAGTTCAATCGCTTGATGATGTGGATCCAGATAGGATCTGAAGTGGCTCAAATCATTTTAAAGCTACTACCTTTGGAAGTAGCCTACACATGCAAATAGATATAGGCTCCATGTGGTCCACAGCTGTTTCATTTTGATGATAAAAAAATAAATTTATAGTTTGCAGCAAATACGTGAATATTACTGTTTAGTATTTAAGGTGCAAAGTTAAACTCACTTAAAGCTAGGCCTGTAATCCTGGAAGGTGCTGGAGGTGTTACAGCAGTCATCAGAAGGATTGTTAAGCATTTGGACAATAGTATGGATGAACAAGGGTTTTACAGTTAACTAAAGTGCGACTTCACTCACCTTCAGGACTTTTTGGATTGACAGGGACGTTAATCTGAGCACTGAGAAGCAATGTGATGAATCCTGGACATGAGATGTTTCAAAAATCAAAACACTTATTGTCACATGGATTTGGTGAGACAACATCGGTCTCTGTGATTCTTTTGGTCCTGGTAGAGATCACGCTGAGATGTTTCCATGTTTTGCACAATCCTTTTATTACCATTGCAAGCAATCACAACTATGTTCTCTTTAACTTTGATGTACATTAAGGAATCTATTCTCAACAGATTACATGGATTCTTTCATCAGCTGACAAAGAGGTGATCAAAAGGTGAGCTATTGATCTGATAACCCTCTACACCACCTACTGGAGATGAACACTACAGGGAGTGCAGAATTATTAGGCAAGTTGTATTTTTGAGGAATAATTTTATTACTGAACAACAACCATGTTCTCAATGAACCCAAAAAACTCATTAATATCAAAGCTGAATGTTTTTGGAAGTAGTTTTTAGTTTGTTTT